GTTTTTTCGTTATTGTTATGCTGTTTGCTTTATCACTGTTTCACTTGAAGTTCTTGAGGTGAGTTGAAAGGCATTATCTTATTTAGTTCCCGACTTTAACCTACCGCTTGATGCTCACCACTTGTGTAGTTGGTGTGTTTTTTTGAGATTGGTGATCAAATCTTAAAAAGTGGTTATATGGTTATATGGTTTGATTATGAAGAATGTTAGGGAATGTAACTTGTGTTTACTTGATATTCCGCTTCATGGTTATGAGATTCGTGAGGATGTGCCTCCATGATGGAAATAACGGTTGTTAGTATAGTCAGCAATGTTTGTCCTGCAATGCCTTGGAATTGATTTCTATGTTTAAATTCGAGCCCTGATTGGGCAATGGGATTAGAGCATTAGGGTTTGAGTATAGATGAATCTTTAAAACCTTGGAAGGCCTTTGTAATATATGCTTAACAACCTTAACGATAAGATGGTACTTAACGTGTTTTTTATTCTTTTTTCTTTTTTTTTTTTGGATGGATGCAGCTATAGATTTCTTAAAGTGGCAGTATACTTCTAGCGTTGCTCAAGAAATTGGTTTCTGCCTAGAGTTGAGCAAATTATAATTTTGATGGGAACCTTTCATCGGAGGTTTGTCAAGCTGCTGATGTTGATCTAATAATTTCAAATGAGTGCTGGCTGTGGCCAAGGTTGCTTACTTTTTACTCTGATTCCTGTGTGTAGTGGGGTTGCTAAGAAGTCTAATGATGCTGCTCGGCTCTTTATGACAACCATAATGGGAATGGTTCTGGGTTATTTTATAGGTGTTTCCTTTCAGTCTGTTTCATTGAGTAAGGTATGATCTAAATTCTTTGTGCAACTTGCGTAATGGGGAATAACTGTTACTCGTTAGAATTCATTCTATAATTTTGTTCTCTTTCTTTTCCATGTTTTGCCAGAAGATTAATTTATCTCCAAGTTTAGTGACATCTCTTGATGTAACCTTAAATGATGATAGTCGTAGTTTTCCTGACAACCGTGACTCTGGAAGTACTCCCATAACACCCAAGGTACTACTTCTGTTTGTGTACATTCCTTTGTCGCTATCTTTTTCATTGAAACTTAATTGTGTTTTTCGTTTTTTGGGTCTTTGGCTTATGTTATTCTGTGAATACTAGTAGGTATCAATAAAATAATTGTTTGCCATTGATCAGTCAATGGAGCATATGTCTTTCATTTTTCAACACTTGGCCCTTGGGTCAGGTGGATAACAATCATTCAGATAACCTTCAATTTGGGTTCCCCTAGTATGACAATAAGGGTGCACTTGCCACTTAGTGAAAAGTCATCAGAGTAAAATCCGTATGACATGTCTGTAGATATACTTGTTAGGGGACTAATATTGCATCAGAACAATCGCTCAAAGGAACTATTATTCTGTCCGATTCTTGATGGTCATTTTTGTCTACAAGCTGTTGTAAAATGAAGAAGCCCCTAAAAGTATGTATAGTTCTTATAGTATGTATCACTATATATAGTTCTTATAGTATGTATCACTCCCAGAAAGTATCAAACCGATGTATCATGCTATGTAAACTTAGAAGTGGTGGTGTATAGTTCTTATAGTATGTATCACTCCCCGAAAGTATCAAACCGATGTATCATGCTATGTAAACTTAGAAGTGGTGGTGTGGTGATTAGGGAGTTTAAAATAACTATAAACCTTGAAAGAAAAACGAACTAACTGAGGAAACAACTCAAATGCAGACAAAAGTTGGTCTAAATACATTTAGAATTTTACAACTGACCAGCGTGTAGATATATATTTATTCCCACTTTGAATATGGGCCATTGGAACTACCTTTGGATCTCTCTAAAGCAGTAACCTAATCAACCGTAGACACTACATAACGCAAAAGACACTGGGGATTTATTTGTAATGGCACTAAGAATTGTTATAATGAGAGACGCTTAACAATATGAACTCAAGCAAAATTTATTGCGTTTAATTTCGAGGATTATTCCTTAGACCTAATAATTTCTTATGCACTAACTCATTAAATTAGTTGCTTCACAACTTAAAGGGTCCAAATAATTACAGATGTAAAATATAATTCAGTTGTACAGTGTGATGATTGATGAACTAGCTGTCCTTCTAGTGCTTAAACAAAAAATCATCAAATATTTACTCATTTGGATGAAATGAAGAATATGCCTGAAGTTAGATTATATATATATATATATATATTGTTCTTTGAATTTTGGGTTTCAGATCTATGCTCCTATGAATCCACGTGGTGCACAGTCTTTGCCACCAGGAATTGTTGTCTCAGAATCAGATTTATATTTGCGAAGATTATGGGGCGAGCCTAGTGAGGTAAGGTTTTGGCATAAATGAAAATGGTAATAATTGTGCAATCTGAGGTTCTTATGTTATTTTATGACGATGCTGATGCTGTATCTTCCATGTGATTAACATACTGGCTCTGTCCTCATCTACAAGGATAATTGTATTTATGTCTGTATAGTGCTTCGATTTGATCACTCTTTGCTTTTTATTGGTTTTTATTGAGTTAGTACTGACTTACTTGGCTATGATTGTTTGTTACTTGTGGAATGGGTGGAACTGGTAGGTCAAAACTTAGTAAGGATATCTCCACTCGTTTTCCTTCTGCTGAATCTATCTCTTGTTTGGGCTTACAATTGCATACATTAATAAACATCTTTCAGTTTCCAATAGTAAAATTATTAGCGCATATCTGTAGCAGCCGCAATCTCCCTGCACAATTTTTTTGATAACTAGTCGAAAGTAGTGTGCTCACACTTACAATTTGAATTTTCAGGATCTGAAAAATAAGCCAAAGTACCTTGTTACATTTACAGTTGGTGTGAATCAAAAAGCCAATATTGATGCAGCTGTGAAGAAGGTTAAGCCAGTTTAAATTTAATTTATCTGTAGATGTTAACTGGCTTCCTTTCCATAGTGTGTTAACAAATGCTGATTTTGTTTGTTACAATAGTTTTCGGAAGACTTTCAAATACTGCTTTTTCATTATGATGGCCGGACGAGTGAATGGGAGCAATTTGAGTGGTCACGTCGTGCCATACATGTCAGTGTTAGGAAACAAACAAAATGGTAATATTTTGTTGCTAGCTTCTGGTCTTATTTTAATCACTGTATACCTTATGATGTAGACTAGGACCTCAAATGAGATGTGATGTGAATCTTGCATTAATTGGGTCGGGATTAATTATAAAATAATGTTTGTTGAGAAATTACTCAATAATGGTTAGGTTCAATTTTATGTTGTTCTTGTTAAACTTCAGAATGATCTTCTTTTAACTTGCTGTATGACTGCCAAATTGTTCTACTTTCGTGTGCTAAGACTCTAGATTATTACTTGCAGTAAACGTACAAGTCTTATCTTGGAAGTTTATCATGTTTTTGGAGCGTAACATTTATTCCTTCCTTTAAGTGACTTTGTACATCCTTTGCTTGGTTAGGTGGTATGCAAAGAGATTTCTACATCCTGACGTCGTAGCCGCATATGAGTACATCTTCATTTGGGATGAAGATCTCGGAGTTGAACACTTTGATGCTCAGAAGTAAATTATCATTTTCTGTACAATCCAACTCAATGGTCATGTATCTTGTGCTATGTATTGATTTTTAGCTCATCAACTGATCTGGTGTTTTTATGCTTGCTAGGTACATTCAGTTGGTTAAGAAACACGGTTTAGATATTTCCCAGCCCGGTCTAGAACCTAACAATGGATTGACGTGGCAAATGACCAAGAGAAGAGATGACATAGAAGTTCACAAGTAGGTCCTTCATTAAATAAAAAACCCCCCAACTCCAAAGGAAATTTAAGTAGGAAGAAACAAAAATTAGAATAAAAGTAACACACACAAACACAAGAATGATATAGATATCTGTGCACATTTGTAGCCTAAAGGTGATTGGATGTTGATAAACAGGGCTACAGAGGAGAGACCAGGCTGGTGCAGCGATCCGCGTTTGCCTCCATGCGCTGCGTAAATTCTCTTTTACCACTAAATTCTGAATGCACATCTTTCTGCATTTTTTTCTTCAGGCATGCATGTCTTGCACTAGGATATTGAGTTGGAGGAATTGTAAAGTGATAATATGTGAAGTCACTCGCATGTCCACGTATATGTTTATAATCTTAATCCAATGTGATCAAATCGTGGACATCCCATATAGAACATAAATGGGTCAAAAGGACAATGTACTCTGAAAGATGGAATGTTTACTCTTACTGAGGTGAAAAAGATGGAATGATTCACAATTAGCTGGGGTAAATCAGTAGTCTGAGGGCAGAAGGAAGGTCATTTAATCTCCAATTAGGATGGTGTTTTGAAATTATCATAACCATAAGAAATTTTAGAAGGAACACAATATATGATGAACACTTTACTCAACTTTTTGATGTGTTTAATTGATCAAGGTTCTTTTGTAATTGACTTATTAATGGATCTTCACATTTACTCTCTCCATTTTAAGAAATTCTCACCTGATGGTTTCACTTCATTTATCTTGGTATCTTCCAGCTTCGTCGAAATTATGGCTCCAGTATTTTCCCGTGAAGCTTGGAGATGTGTTTGGCATTTGATCCAGGTATTTGTTTCAGTCTAGAACGTGCATAATTGCATTTATCTATTTCTTTGAAGCTTTCTCCTCTCATTTTCTTTTCTTATGAGTTCTGCTCTACCAGTTGATCCAAAATGACTGTTGTATTATTGTGCTTGCAGAATGATTTAGTACATGGATGGGGGTTAGATTTTGCATTAAGAAGATGTGTCAATGTTAGTCTCTCTCTCTCTCTCTCTCTCTCTCTCTCTCTCTCTCTCTCTCTCTCTCTCTCTCCATGTCGTGCCACATGGTCTGACAATCCTCTCCTGCTTAAATCACACACACTATTAATTCCAAAAGCTGGTCATACATATATTGAAAAAAAAATCCCTACACAAAACCAGGTTCGGAAGAAGATGGAATATTAAAATGTAATAATACTAATAAACCCTGAGTTGGTAAACTCAGAGATAAGACAGGAGAAAGCATAGAAATGGAACTTCTTTTGGACTTTTATGATACATTGACTTCCTGTTCGTTCTGATCACTTCTACTATGGTTTGCAGCCGGCACATGAAAAAATTGGTGTTGTCGACTCTCAGTGGATTGTGCATCAGGTCATTCCATCACTAGGAAGTCAGGTCAGTCATAACTCACTAATATTCAGCAAAATCATTTTTTTTTTTTCTTAATGAATATTGTATTATTTTCGAAGATCTAGTTATCATTTAAGCTATATAGATTGAAGTTGTTACAAACTTCCGGTTTGGCATTTTGAAATTTGTTGTCTAACATATAACTAATACCCAAGCATTTACGATTTTTTCAGGGAGTGTCTGAGAATGGGAAAGCACCATGGGAAGGGGTATGTTATTCCAAAGTCTGATTCTGTTCTAGTTATTCCCTTATATTCTAGATCAAATTTTGTCATTCACACTTTACAGCGTGCATCCTAATCGTTTAGAAGGCACTTACATTCTGTTATTAATAAATACTAATGCATTATATCCAAAAAGCAAAATAAATAAAATGCTAAATGAACTGTAGTTTCATCACATTCCACGAGGGTATCTCGAAAATCTGTATTTTGAACATGAAGATAAATCGAAGCATACACTTTTGTTGGTTGTGATTTGTATGTGGAGTGAAATGTTGTTTGTTCTCTCTTTTCTCCATAGGTACGTGAGAGATGCAGATACGAATGGTCACTTTTTCAAGATCGTCTTGAGACTGCAGATAAGGAATACTTTACAAAGTTTTAGAACAGATTTTTTTTTTTTTTTCAATTATCGTCTACTTTGTATATCTTGGGATTTTTCCCTTGTCCCATTTATTCAACCCATGAACTCAAATGGTTTCTCATAGCCAAGTGGTGCCTTATGTGAGTTATAAGCATATTCCTTATGTTGAGCCACGTCTCATAGAGCGTAAAATCTTCTTTGGATTTCAACTTCAGTCATCTGTGCAGAAGTAAATACTAGGTTGGATTGGATTAGTTTTTAGGCTTGCTGATGCACATTAGTGATTGCTATAAATCTTCTTTTCTTGCTTTGAAGTTTGGTGCCATTTACGAACGGTTTTTTTTTTTTCGAAGCCATTTAAAGCTTTTGCGTGTTAGTAGTTGACATATCTATCTTGTTTGCGTCGATGCTAAAGATTAGGGTTGAGCATGTGACTCGGAGAATTCCGAACCGTTCCGAAAACCGAACTGAAATCACTCCGAACCGTACCGAAAAAATAATTAGTACGGTTCTGGAGATTCCACAAATATTCGTACCGAGAATCAAACCGAACCGTCCCGTACTGTATCGAATCGAAGAACCGAAATTAAGAATCGAATTATAACATTAAATCTATTATTAATATATTTTATGTCAACTTTGATTTTATATAATATACAATAAATATTAACATTCACTTAAATTTCATTCTTATTAATAATTGATCTACAATTAAATTTTTTCTACTATAAAATAATTATTTAAAATAATATGAAAGTTTAAAAAATATTTTTTAAGAAAAAAATATTATATTTTATTTGAATTTTAAATTTTCAATATTAATTGCACAAATTTAATTATAACTAAAATTTAGAGTCATTTATAAAGTTGATTTCAAAATAAAATTATTAATGTGAGGAAGTACTATAGTTATAAAAACCGGACAGGACAGGCCGGTTCGACCGGTTCAACCGGGAACCGGCCTAGATGCCGGTCCGGTTCAATGATGTAACCCGACCAGCTTCAAAATCGGAATAGAACCGGATGAACCGGTCCAAAACTGGGTTGACCGGTGAGCCAGTACCGGTTCCAACGGGCCAGCGGGTCGAGAAAAGGGGATCTCATGGATCTGAAAATTAAGAATGAAAAAATCCAAAATTTGCCATCTTATCCTATTCTACAGGTATGGTACTTTTGCTCATCCGCCTAGACCTTCGATCGGACCGCGGCCCATGCTCCTGTGGTGGGTGTTTCTTCGTATGTTAGCAATGCTATGCCCTTACGAAAATTTTAACTTCAAATTCATGATGTGGTTTGTAGATTAGGATGAGAAGCATATTATTTCTTTTTTTTTTTTTATTACACTTTCTGTGAGTGGCGAGATATGAAAGACGATGAAGATTTGAAGATGTACTGTAAACTGATGATAGGGTTAGTAAATGGATTTGAGTTCTGATAGTGGGCTGGGCCATGTGTGTTATTGAATTTGGGGCTTGCTTTTTATATTGGGAAATTTGTAGAGATAATTACCCTCTACACGATAACATTACTTTAAATTTCCCAAATAACGAGATTAAAAACTTTATTCCTCTTCAATAATAGGTTCACAACTACGAAATTGTAATTATTTTAATGTTGCGTGTCATCCTGATCTCATCTGCCGCATCACTCATGACTCATGTTCCCCCTTTTCTTTTTCTTTCTCTATAATTCTTCTCCTTCCTATTTCCTTTCTACTTCCAATTGGCATAAGAACACGCAATTACCACTTCCCTCAATCAACGGTGGTTCATCGCTGTTCTCGCTGCCACCGCGTTGTTGGATAAGGTCAGGACGTCGATGCGGTTCTCGAGCTCCTCGAGAAAGTCGCCGACGAATATACGGCGGTAGTCGGCAGTGGATAAGGTCGTGGAGTAGATTGGTTGGGGAGAGTCGAAGGTCGCGACGTCACCGTGTCAGTGGTGTTGGGTCTAATTCTCCATCGGTATGAAGAAATTAGAAAAATATTGTTGAGTGATTTGAGAAAATTAGGGTTTTGAATTATTGTTAATAATATTTTTCTTTGAATTTTGATGTAGAGAATCTGAGGGGATTTTTTTTTTTCCTAGCAAGTGTGATTCAGGTCTTGCAATTTTTTCTCTAAATTTTGATGTAGAGAATTTTAAGGCTACTTTGGTGTTGTTGTGCTTATTAGTGATCGTTGATTGTGTGTGTGCTTACTATATGATATATTTGTGTGTTGAATGATTTTGAAAGCTAATTTGATTGTTTATCTGTAATCAAAGGTATGATTATATGGTTATAAATTAGTTTTTTTTTTTTGTTTATTTGTAGTTTATATTCAGTTTATTGGAGAAGGGCTTTTTAATAGCAAAAAAGAAGTTTTTTTTTAACTAATTAGGTTTTTTTTGTTTATTTGTAGCTTATATTCAGTTTATTTTTTTAATTAATTAGGTTTTTTTTTGTTTATTTGTAGTTTATGTTTAGTTTATTGGAGAAGGGCTTTTTCATAGCAAAAAAAAGGGTTTTTTTTTTTAATTAATTAGGTTTTTTTTGGTTTATTTGTAGCTTATGTTCAGTTTATTTTTTTTAATTAATTAGGTTTATTTGGTTTATTTGGTTTATATTTAGTTAATTTTTTTAATTGATTTTTTTGTCTATTTAGTTATGTGTCATTTAGTTATAATTATGAATTAGATAATAAACTTAAGATTATCTAGATATAAATTTTGGTAGAAAAATTGGTTCATAGACTCAAGATAAATTCAAAATAAACTATATATTTTAAATCTAAATTTGGAAGTTAACTATTTGTTTATTTATGTAAAAGTTATGAAGGTAAATGCTTTTTTTTTTTTTAAAAAAGAAAAATCTAAACATGTTCTAGTTTTTTAATTTTTAAATTAAAATATCTTAATCAATTTATAACTGACGCAAGACCCGCAATTAATGGGGGTAGAAAAAGAGAATGTCATTATGATTTGATGTTCAAATGGTTCGTATATATGTATTTTAACTTTTTGGCTCGTTTATATGGGGAATTTAAAACTTAATCTCGTCTAGATGTACTTATGCCCAATCTTTCTGCCCCTTAAGATCAAATCAACCAACACATTCTACAGTCAAAATCAAATAAGCCAAAAAAGCCCATTTGGGACCAATGATCAGTATGTGGTATCATTTTCTTTTCACATCTCAAGTAGTTCATATTTACTATTTCACCACTTTCATATGATCCGTTCATAGCTAATATTTCGTAGTTCAGCAAAACGCCTACGGACAGAGAGTTTGAGGGACCCTAATACACGTACAAGCTCCCGAGCATTTCTTCATTTTCACGAATGCCATCTCTTAATTGCACTAATAGAAGTAACTTTCGATACCAATCAATTTTGAGTCCATCTAAGAGTACAAGTAGGATGCCCCGTGGATTAAACCTTCTTCACAATTTCTTCACTAGCACGTCTATAGTAAGTCATCCTACGGACTGAAGCAAGAGCGTCTTCAAAGTTCTTATTCTGATAAGCATCTTCAAATGAATCGATCAAATGTACCACTTTTTCCCGCAACTGCAAGGCACAAGCAACACGCATATGCACATCACAGTTATAAGTTATGAATTATTACCTTCAGAAAAATATTGCTGCCTCAGGCACTTTTGACAACCTATTTAAAAAGAAATGACTTGTGCCATAGCTAATGCTAGTAAATGTTGAAACTGACCAAATAAGCCCTTCACATCTATGATTTCTTTGATAGCTGTTATTTTCCAAGAGAAATTAAATCACGTGTGTATAGATTATTGCACGGCATTCAGTTTGTACCTGAGACTGGATCTCATTTAATGCCCGAGTGTCATCAGCCTCATCAACAGCCTCCCTTAATTCCATGATCTGCCATAGCCCATTCCAACAAAAATTCAAAAATTAGTTTCCTTCAAACTTATATGAGAGCTTAGACTACAAGACATTGAAAGTGGAAGTACATCACAAACATTTCAAAAAAAAAATTATATTAAGTATCTAGCCACATGCTAGAGTGTCATGCATTGAGTATGACAAAGGTATAGCTCACATCATCCAACATGTTTTGACTTGCTTTCAAAATAATTGAATATAATGTTTGAAGTTACTACCATATAGCACTGGAGAGAGTTAGGCAATCATGCCAGCTAACTGTATTTTAACATATAATGAAATGATTTTTGTATCCAAAATATTAATTTGTGCTAAATAACATGCGGATGAAATGAGGAAACAAATTTCCTCGTGTCATTGAATCCTCCAAGCACCTCAGTAATAAGACTGGAAAGAGGTACAACATTTAGGCACATAGATATATGGTTAGACATCCACATGCCATAATCTTGCAAGGACTAAAAAATTACTAACAGAATGCGACTAAAGGAATTCACAGAAGGAGACTCTTCATGTTGTATAAAATCACCTCAGCAAGTAACTCAGGATCTGTAATCCTTTCTTCTTCATCAACAAGCACACCTTCTAATTTCAACTGCATATGTTACATGAAAAATGAGTGCAAATGAGTAGAAAAGAGAAGAAACAAAGTCATGCTAAACAAAACCTAATTGAAAACAAAGACTTAATAATCCAAACATACAAATATTGACAGTGCTATCAGCTGTGAGTGATAACAAGAGACATAAGCCTAGTTTGACAGCTTTTAATTACTAACAAACAATACAAATTAAAGAGAAAAGGTCCCTAGTCTAACTACTAAAGTTATCAAAGCCTCATATTCATCCTTAGTGTACAGTGAAACATCAAGGTTCCAATACAAATTTCAGCTTTTGAAACGTTTTCCAAACAACATGAATTTCTTGAGCAATACGAAAAACGTAATTATATAATTTGATCTTAAGTGTGAAAGAAAAAAATGAACAGAATAATATTAGCAAAGATAAATAAAATCCCCAATAAAATAAGATTCTCATTTTGAAGAATCAATTGAGAACACAATTTACCAAACAGATTGTACCGAATGCTGCTTTATACAAATTTAAAAAACTTACAATATATATTGCCCTCGACAATGGATCAGTGAGTGTGCGATATGCATCTATAACTCGTGCAGATTGTTCAGCAGCGTACTCCCTCTCCCTCTAGTCATCCACATTAGTAAGTTTAGAAAATGTATGATACTTTACGGAACAAACTTTCGACAACAAAAAAAAAAAGTATCTTTAAAGAGCAGTTCAAAGCCAAGATTAACCTTAGATTTTGAGTGGACTAGATCAGGATGCAGCTTCTTTTGCCAGTCTTTGTACTTCTTCTCCAATTTATCCACCTCAAGTTTATATTCCCTTCCCCTAATGTCAACAAGAGCTCCCTCGTCATTTTTTTAATTACAACGAAACTGTACAAAGAACAACAAATACTATATACTGATGCTGAGGACAGTTATTCTTAAAATCTTCACCAAAATTCAAACTCCATGACTAAAAACAAAAAAAA